AAAACTAACACAGAATCAGCATCAACATGTAAAGGAACCATTTCCAAAATACTCTCTAACACCTGTGCTGCTTTCATCTGCTCAGTCATTAGATCAGCAAGTACTTCTGCCATGAAATCTAACACAGCAGTCGCACCAGCAGAACAAGGGCCGCCACCATAGCCAGAATCATCCAATTCAAGAAGAAGCTTTGGACTGACTGTAAAAAATGCATTGGCAGAGGATGAACTTTGAGAACAAGATTTTAGTTCAGAAGATGGATCAGATTCACTGGCAGAAACAAAAGACTCCTGGGAAGGTGTAGCAAATGGAGCTTTAGATTCACTATGGTTAGCACTTAACCAAGAGGTCAATGCAACTACTGGAGATGGTGATGCCGTGATCGGGATTCTTGAATGAGATTTCTCAGATAAAAGGGGAGAATCTTCAAATGCAACAGAAACAGAACTATGAGAATCCATTGGCTGAGGGAGATCCAGAGCAACTTTGATATTACGGAAGCTTGATCCAATGGAGCTTGAGGTGGCAGATATCTGATCAACATTATCAGCATCTAAGATCTGAATAGCTTGCACGTCTTCTTGACCTGATCTATTTAATTCCTGCTGGGACATTGAAACATTGGTCTCTACTTTATCATCAGCTGTATAGTTTGAGGCCAGGGGCATATCTTCAGAACTTGAGCTGACCTGTCCCTGTGGAAAGCTTCCGATGCTGATTGAAGTTTTAACAGACTGCTCCTGGTCATGAGGCAAACAAGACAAAGTATTCTGTGAGCTGGTATCATCACAATCATTCAAATTCTTTTCTTCTGTCTTTTCAGAGAGTTGTTTTGCCATCTTCACTGCATAGGCAGCCCTGCAAAACAGTACAAAAGTTCAGCAAGGTGAAATACCAGATTTCTGAAGCAGGAATAAAGTCAGAAATCACAATAGAAATTATAAAGCATTTTATTATTTCAGAACCTGTTCCACGCTCAGTAAGCCAAAAAATTCATAGTTTCGAAGAAATTAATTACTAAGCAGAAAGCATCCAAAAACAAACCTAACACAAGAAAAATAAAGATCAACACAGCTTTCAAGATACTCTGCCCGTCTACAAACAACCGAAAATGGAGGGCACATTTTTGCAAGATCAACCATGAATCTGAGAACTGAAGTAGCAGCAGCAGGCGCAGATGCTTCCCCACCCATTAAGCGTGCTGCATATGTTTTATGCATCAAAGCTTCCCCCTGAAGCTCTCCGGCCATGTCTGCATTTCCATCCACAAGCTCTGCCACAAGGCTAGCACCAACCTGGGAAAGATTTCCAGTTTCATGGGCAAGCATTGACTGCATGCTCAACCG